GACACTGGGGGAGAACGGTCGGGCTCTAAAGCAGGTACAATTTTCAACCTGATTTTTATTTCAGCTCTTTGCTACGTTGGGAACTATTGCATTTCATAAAGGACTTCACATGTGTGGGCAATCGAGCTGCTGAAACCCTTCACGAGGTTCCCACTCCGCAAAGCGTTAGTTCCAATAAGGGATGAGTTAAGTCACCGAGAGCTCTGCAGGTGCCAGGGGATCCCGGGATCGGAATTGGGAAGTACTGCTTCGGGATACAGACAAGCTTCTGTAATTCAGGCCGGGGTTCGGAATGGCACCCCACTGTCACTACTGGGTGTGTCTGCAACTTTGCATCAAAGAGATCTCACCCCCCCCTGCCCCTCTCCTGCCCATACAGGCAAACTCCCGAGTGCACGCAAGATGCAATTCACTTCCTTCTATGAATTTCCAACAGAGACGAAAACATTTTGTTTTCAGGTGTGTTTAATAGTTCTATCATTCAGGAAAGGGGCCGGACAAGGCTGGACAAGGCTGGACAAGGCTCTCCTGGTGGCCTGTGACTTGCTGGGCAGCTGCCAGATCACAGTGAAGTCTGCACCATCTGCTCCTTTAATTGAGCACTGCGGCGCCCCCTGAGTGAAATGACAAACGGCTCTGCAGACGGGTGTGTCTGTGTCCTGGGGGAGCGAGAGCCTATCCCAGCAGGCAACGGGTGCAAGGCAGGGTACCCCCCCGGGATGGGACGCCAGTCCATCACAGGGCAGACAGAAACAAATATGCATCTTCTCACACTGAGGCGTTTCACTCTCTCCAGATAATAAGGGAGTCAGCTGGAGAGCTTATAACAATTTTAAAACAACTGGAGATCACAAAACTGGGCAGGGCATACAAAATAAGTGTATAGATTAACTTCCCCCCCGCAAAAGAGGAGTAATATCCCTCCCGTGCTGACAGGACCCCGATCTCCTCTCGGCCTCTCACCCAGGGATCGGAGATTGATCTCGGCGGTGATCCTGGCTTCGGCCAGCAGCTCCTCTTGGGTCAGGGGCCGGTCGTGGTAGGGGCCCTTCCGGCGGCGCGGCTGCACTCGCCTCTCCTGGAGCCGCAGGTACGTCAGGCGGGTGTGCTCGGTGGTCGACTGGCGCACGGACTTGCGGTCTGGAAGAAGCCGCGGGCAGAGGTTTCTGGGCTGCAGCCGATGCCACGAGCATCTCCCCC